CTACTACTACTACTACTACTACTACTACTACTACTACTGCTCCTGCTCCTGCTCCTGCTCCTGCTCCTGCTCCTGCTCCTGCTCCTGCTCCTATTTTAACACTGTTTTGTTTTGTATTGTAGTACCACCGGAGTCTCCAGCCATCGTAAGCGCAAACACAGCAGACCTGTCAATCACAGTCAACTGGAGAGAACCAGAGAGCCATGGATACCCTGTGCTCATGTATTCTGTTCACATAGTAGAACTAGACCAAGCAGGACAGGAAGTGACGTCACGTACGTATCACGTGAACGAAGACGTACATCACTACGAGGCTGGTGACATTGAAGGCGGGAAAACTTACAGGTTCTACGTGACTGCGTGGAATACTCATGGGGAAAGCGTGAAGGACCACCGTAAGAGTGTGACAGTAAAAGTACAGAAACCATGATGCTTTGCGGTAGAGGTAATCACGTGACCCCAGACAACCAAATGGACTTACAACTCACCGGACAAAGATTTGGAAACAGAAAAAAAATGTTTATTTGTTTATTTTGTTTCAAATCTGCGTGCTTTTAAATGGAATATAAGCTGATTAACTGTGCTGTTTTTCTACTTTTTTTGCGGTTTGTTTAGTTTGAACAAATGACGAACATAAAAAAATATCAATAGAGAGTTTTAGATTTACGTTCACGGCAAACGTGAAACGTCAGTTGACCAGTAAAAAATTCTTTTAAATTACTGAAAAAGAATCGCAAAAAAGTCCAAGTGGTAGAAAAAAAAAGAGTATTTGCGCTTGGCGAGAAGGTTTGTAAAAGGTAAAGTAAAATACAGGAAAACTATGAAAACGTGGTCACGTTTGCCGTTTGCGGGGAGGAAAAAAAGTCAATCTAAAACTCTCTAATATCTCATAAAATCCATCTCTTTCGCCACCTCTGTCCTTCGTAATTATTTTTTGTCAGTTAATAAATCGTTTTCGAAATATTCAAACACTGCTGTTTAGCTAGCTCGTTTCAGCGTCAGAATACTTTAACAATACCTATATAGAGGCTTTGCACCATCACGTGATAGCAGCCATGACAGGAGTCACAACAATAGCTTTTTCCCCTGGGAAACTGAATTCTTTCTCGATGTAAATTAGATTAGACCAGATTCAATTGTTCCTGCCTCCTGTCATGGTTGCCATCACGTGATGCTGCAAAGCCTCTATATGCGGTAAAGTAAAGAATGCACAACTTCAACAAATGCAAGTCAAATGCTTTGAAATTCCACGGACTTTCATTGAGACACATTTATATTCAAAGAACGAGGCCGTAGCTACCACTTGCACAGCTGTCCGGTTTAAAAAAAGATGCTACTAGTGTGTAATATTTTTTTTTACGAGGGGAAAAATGGGTTAGTAGTCCGGACGTACAACCGCGTGCTTGTGGCTATGGCCCTGAAATAACTGCAATAAACAATCGAGTATAGCCATGAAAACAGAGAAATCGAAAATGGAGTATTATATTATTATTATTATTATTACCATAATTATACAGCTTCTCATTAATCCCATATAGGTAACTGTCCAATTATTTTCTTGTCTTGTTGATATGGGATTAATTAGGCAGCTATATAATTAATAGGTAATGGAATTTCATGCTCCCCAATCAAGAAATAATTAGACTCGAAAAATTCCTCTGACTGCCAAATTAGACTCGGCCTAAGGCCTCATCCAATTTTGTCAGTCCTCGGAAGTTTCCTCGTCCAATTATTTCTTAATTGGACAGCATGGAGTCCTATTACATATACTTATCATATAGACAATAAAGGCTTTGCAGCATCACTTGATAACAGCCGTGATAGGAGGCAGGAACAACTGAATCTGGTCTAATCAAAGAATTCATTTTCATAAAAAATACTCTATTGTTGTACCTATTGTTATGGCAACCATCATGTGATGATACAAAGCCTTTATTGAAAAACTAAAGATTCAGGGAATGAACATTCCACAGAAGAAAGTAAATGACTAACGTCAAGTGGTCCCAGCAATAGATATTTGTCTCTATCTACTCGTGTTCAACGTTTCCCACAGTCTGGTAGTTTGTTGAAGACGAAAGTAGAGGATTCATGCTAGATTTATTACTTTCACGACGCGTTTTACGGCGTACGGAAACAACCACCACAAGAATCAAGATTGCAGCAAACGCTATGACAGCGATTGTAATCACGACTGCCGTTCCAGGTGACATTGTGTCGTCTTTTGGTCCAGTAGAAGAGGAGGAAGACTTGGTGCTCGGTTTGATTTCGTCCACTGAAGCCTTTAAATTCTCGATGGCGCCTTTGTTGATGTCTGTCTCGGCCATGAATTTCATGACGGAACTGATAATGAGATAAAAACTATAAGAATCCCATGCATCCATGCATTCATTCATCCATTCATCCATCCATGCATCCATCCGTCTGTCCAACCGTCTGTCCGTCCGTCCGTCCGTCCGTCCGTCCGTCCGTCCATTCACAAAATACCTATAACAAACACATCGCCTAGCATGCACTAAAACTTACCTTTTTGTCGCTAGAATCCAGCTCAAAGAGTTTGGATCCTTGAACCAAACTTTACCCGTGTCATCATTAACTATGGCCAGCGGTATCGTAATGTTATGGTTCATCTTCGGCAGCGGTCGGAACGGTGGTCGTCTGATGGTCGGAAGGCCTTGTGCTGACAGGGAATTGGCTTTCACACAGTAGTTGATCTCACAGTCCTCGTCTATGATGGCCAAGTGTTGGGAGTACCCCGTAGGACAGCGCTTGGGCCAGCTAGAGGAGCCAGCACTGTATAAAGCGCGTTCTAGTCCTACTTTACAACACAAAATGGTATTATGTAAGACTTATTATTCGTCCCGCATAAATTTTGAAAACAACGTAATAAACTTCAACCCAAAAGCGCCAAAACTTGCATTCTCTATTCCAAAGAATTTAGAGTTTAAAGCCACGAGAATTAGGCCCCGTCCACACGTATACGAAAATTTTTGTATCTGCAAATTATTTTTTGCGGATACGAAAATGTTTGCGTCCACACGCAGCGTATTCGAATCGTTTTCACCGTCCACACGTATCCGTTTTCGTAAAATTTGCGGATACGGGCACAAAAATTTGCGGACACGTGTGGACGCAACCTATATCCGTAAAAGAAATTTGCGCATACAAAAATTTCCGGATACGTGTGGACGGGGCCT